ATTTGCATACCACTAGTTATCTTTTCTGTTGGATAAGGATGGAATCACATATATAAAGTGGGGTGAGCATACATGGCCTTGCAGAGAAGTGTGCTTTTCAATAGCCTTTAATCTAATGAGAGAAATAAAGTAATTTAGCCTTCTAGTGATACTACTGTTAGATATTAACTTGAGCATATTCAACAGGAAGGATAAAGAACTGGGCAAATCCCACATTAACCTGGAAATTGTTAGGACCTAGAACCCAATAAACACAAGTGTTAGAGAAATGTCCAATTCTCTATGGTTTTGTTAGGGAGGCGATGACCTTCTATCCCCCAGTTGCACTTCTTCCTGAACGGTCACAGTGATTACAGTGTAAAGGGTATGGTAACTGTGAATTTACACAATGAGAACAGTTCTTAGTCTTCACCACTTGGCAAAACTCCACCTCTTTCCTGTATTGCTTCATTGTACAGAGTTCCTGTCACATGGTCTTGCCATAATGGAATTGTTTCCCCACAGGAACAGACTTCTGTCTTAACTTCTTAACATCCTTAACTTGACACAGTATTACTCATTGCATAAAAACTGTCAAAATGATAAACTTTTCTCCACGGTATTTTGTGCCTACACCTTCTTTTAGACCTGGGCAGTTCCCATATAAGACATAGGCTGCTTAGAATCCAGGTATTCTGAGAAATGAACAGTTCACTTTATTGAGTAATCCTTGGATGCTCTCAAGGAACTCACTCTCTTACAACTAGATGAAAGAATACATCCGATATAACATAATTTCCAACTGATGCTCAACTAACTTATGTGTTATGGTCAGTCACTAATTTCTCTTTGTGGCACAGGTCATGGACTCAAGAGAAGACAGATGTTGCTGTAGGTTCTATGTGTGTTGCCCATGTAGGATATATACATACAAATGGATCTGTCCAGATGTGGTTCACAGGGAAGCAAGAATAGATATGTCCAGAGACTTCTTCACCTACCCTTTTCCAAGTGAGGCTTTGATTACTGACAAGATGGGAGCAGGAGATGCAAAACTTGTCTTTCCCTCTCTGTTTCTCCCTCTCAAACCACAGAGGATAACAAGCTCCTGAATTTTCCTCTCAGTTGTAGATGGGACCAGCAGGCAATAAGCCTAGCCAGCTCTTCATACAATAGCAAGATTCTGCTTTTTTCCAAACAACTTCTAGTAGCTAAAGAATCCTCTTCCAATGAGTTCCTAACAACTGTAGCTAGCTCTTCCAGCTGGCTCTATCCAAAGCATCTAATCTTAGTTTGTTATTTTTCATTGTAATGCTTTCAAGAAGCACAGGGCAGTCTTCGCTGTTAGAATCTCTCTTCCAGTGGTTGCCATGTCTTCTTCTGTCTTCTCCTCTCTCTTCTGTAGTTTCAAAGGTCTCATATCAAGACCTCCATCTGATTAGTGACAGTTCTAACTCAAATTCATAAACTCAGAATCTACTGTTTCAGCAGGTATACTACAGACATCACACAATTTTCTTGCAGTCCTCAAGAAGTTCTTCCATTTAAAATTTCTCAGCTATAACCTTCAGAATCCTGAAAACAGTCATATGTAAATAATCTGATGGACAGCACAGCACTGAAGCCATTCCTACCTTCTTTGAGTTTTTTTTATGCTTTTGAACTTTTCCACTAGGTCAGGCCTGCACAACACATGGCCCACAGGTGGTATATTGTACAGGGTTGTTTTACATCCTCTACATTTTTTGTGGGCTGCCTGAAATCCTTTGGCAGGCCAAAAGTTATGCAGGCCTGCACTAGGTCCTCTCAGTACATTTCTCTGAGTGGCATTTTTTTCTCAGGTCCTTAGACTTTGAGTGAATAAATCATATTGATTCTTATAAATACCCAAATTAACTATAACAGACATAAGAAGAAAGAAGCTATCTGCATTCAGAGAAAGAACCGATAAGTATGTATAGAATAATTTTACATATATACATACATATGTGTGTGTATGTATACATACATATACACATATGTATGTATATGTGTGTGTATATGTATATATGTGTGTATGTATGCACACACACATACACATACATAACAGGGCAGAAGGTAGGCCTTCAGAATGAGATAGATATACTAAGGCCATACTTATGGTGCAAAGTGAAAGTTCCACAGGGACCTGTACTATGGGAGTCACTCAGGAGCTTGAAGAGTTAATGCTGTGGTTTTCGCTGCTTCGTCAATCAAGTCATTTCCATGATCATGAATGCTGTTCTCTTGGCTGTGCCCTGAAATTTTAATTACTGCTACAGCTTGGCGAATCAGTAAACAATCTAATAGATGGGAAATCTGTTTCTGATTTTTAATGGGCTGTCCTGAGAAGGTGAGGAAGTCCCAATGTTTCCATAGCATCTCAAAGTCATATGCCAAAGTCTCATCCTCACTTTCCCTCTCAGGTGGATAGGTGGCAGGATTGAATGTACTTACACCAACTACATTCCCTCCTTTCCCAGAGGTGAATGAATAAGATAGGAGAGCTAACTGCACAACAATAGGTGGGGCACTGATAACTGATCCAATATCAATAACATCTGAAGTCCACAAGATAGAGGGAACTTGGTTGACAGCTGGATGGTCAGAAGGGGTTAAGGAGGGTGTTGGAGACAAAAGACACAAGGAAGTGGTCCCTCCTGGGTCAAATGAAATAGTGACCTGTCCTAGCAAGGGGCTAGGGACCTCAGGGACCAGGACAACAGGATGAAAGGCACTGATCCCTCCAAAACAAGGGGAGAGTAGTTCTGAGATATGGGCTAAATGGTCTTATTAGCAATCCCCACATCTGAGATACACTCTTGACTCTGGGGGAGGGGAGTGGAGAAGGCAGAGGGGTTTAAAACTGAAAGTGTGGCACTAGTGTCAACTACAGCTGACACCTCTTGCCCCTGTATAAGCAAGCAGACATCGCCAATAGGAGTCATGAGGATAACAGGCATTGCCTGTACATCCCCCTCCTTTTGCCACCTCTCCTGACAGCCTTCTTGGAGCCTAGTCATGCTGAGTGATCAGGATTTCAAGCATGGTCCCTCAATGCTTTCTGGGGTGCTCCTGGCACCAACTCCTAATCTCCCCTTTCCTGACTGAGACAACCATGGGTTAATACAGATCCAGATGCCCAGCTCTGTATGAACACAGGGTGAGCCAGAACCACTCAGCAAAGCCCATGGGATCCTCCCTGAGGCTTGGACACTTACTCCTTAGCGATATCCTGGAGTTCTCTGTGCTGCCAGGGTTTGAAACAACAGCTCCCAATAAAGCCACTGTCTTCAGGGTGTTTTTCCTGAGAGAACTTTGGCTTGTACTTTGTTTTTTGTTTGTGTTTTTGTTCATAATTACCTTATTTTTAGTTTTCAACATTCACTTCCATAAGATTTTGAGTTTTGTATTTTCTCCCCCACTCTCTCCTTCCCCCTCCACAAGATAGTATGCAATCTGAGATAGGCTCTACTTACATATTAATATTAAATGTTTTCACGTTAGTTATGATGTTAACAAGAATTCGAACTAATGGGAGGAACCATGAGAAAGAAGAAACAAAACAAAACAACAAAAAAAAGGAGAGCAAATAGTATGCTCCATCTGCCTTCAGACTCCAAAGTTCTTTCTGTGCATGTGGGTAGTATTTTCCATAATGAGTCTTTTGGAATTGTCTTAGATCCTTGCATTGTTAAGAAGAGATAAGTCTATCAAAGTTGATCATTGCACAATGTGGCTGTTACACGGTGTACAATGTTTTTCTGGTTCTGCTCATTTCACTCAGCATCAGTCCATGTAAGTCTTTCCAGATTTTTCTGAAATCTGCCTACACATCATTTCATACAGCACAATAGTATTCCATTACATTCATATACCACAACTTGTTCGGCCATTCCCCAATTGATGGACATCCCCTCAATTCCAGTTCTTTGCCACCACAAAAGGAGCTACTATAAATATTTTCGTACATGTGGGTCTTTTCCCTGTTTTTATGATCTCTTTGGGATACAGACCTAGAAGTGGTATTGCTGGGTCAAAAGGTATGCACATTTTTATAGCCCTTTTGGCATAGTTCCAAATTGCTCTCCAGAATGGTTGGATCAGTTCACAACTCCACCAACAATGCATTAGTGTTCCAACTTTCCCACACCTTCTCCAACATTTATCATTTTCCTGTTTTGTCATGTTAGTCTTTGGCTTGTACTTTGAAAAGGAACATAGAAACTGGGGAACTGATAAAGTCTTTTGGTTAAAGGTGGGTATATTTTAGGTAGTTGAGTACACTCAAAGATAATAACACCACTTAACTAACAAGTACACAAAATACAAAAACAAAAATACACTATAAAGGGATATAACAACACAAATGCAAAAAATACAAGCACACAAATACAAGTATTCCACACTGTGCTAACAATTCACTTGAATTATAGAATTAAACATTCCACAGTTCTTATCGAGCATGCAATTAAAATGTTAATTTCAACCGGTTTAACTGCACACAAAAGCAACCATGCAAGCAACTCTTACACAAAAAAAATTTTACCGTGTGTGGAAATAAAATCCTGCAGTCCATAGCTCAGACTGTCTTTACAAAAGAGAGAAGAGAAAAACCACAGGCCATAGACACCTCTGCATTATAAGCCAAATCTGTGCACAACAGGCCTTAACAGAGTAATCGGGGCAAAGAAAAGGTCCCAAGAACATTCCTCACAGTCAAAGGTGGTCTTGATCAAAGGCTGATCCCAGCGGAGTGAGAGTGACAACTGAACCTGCCAGACTAGGTGAGTTGGGACTCTGGAAAAAATCCAGAGGTTCCTGTCCCTTGTCCCCCCATACTGGAGAGCTCAAAGCTTCCCTTCTATGTCCACCTCTTAAAAACTTCTGACACCAATTAAGGTTAACAGAATTTTACTGAGCCAGTCTCTAACCCGAGAATGATGAAACAACCATCAGTAATCAGGTAGCTGTTTAATCAATTAGTTTCATTATGAGGAACAGATTTGTAAATCGGGAATTCTCCCAATCAGAATTCCACCTTGCTGAAGGAGGACAGAGATTATATACATAAATCACAAGTGGGAAGGGAGTGGGGAAGGTGGATTACAAACAATGTTTTCCCTGGCTTGAGCAATTTCCCACACAAACCCACAGATAGAAGACAATACAACAATTCTGGAGTCCAGTGGAAACAATGTTGCTCGAGTCCTTGAGGGTCTTTACTTGCTGGGTCACAAGACCAGAGTTCTGTGACTGGTACAGGATTCGCTTCACTTCAGGTACATGCACAGGCAGAAGGATACTAGTGATTGTGAGCGTTGCCAAAGTTTGATCGATCAATTAATTCAAGCTGCATTGTGAGTCTGACTCACAAGAAAGGCAATTCTGAAAAATGTGATCTATTAGTATATTTATTGCACATATCATATCGATTATTATAAAAATCATAATTCCCTTCATAATACCATCTCTAGGGTGGGGGGAGAGAAGAAAAAAAGGAAAACAAAGAAACCTACAAGATAACTTTATTATATATTTAAAAGGAATAGCAAGTTGTATATAATAGCTTTGCAGTTTCATATGCAATTATCTTTTATTATACTATGTTATGGAATTACTTGTTTTATTTCATAAATTAAAAATAAAATTAGAAAAAGAACTTTCTGTAGCTGCTTTCCTTACCTGGATGTTCTTTTTCTGCTCTTTCACCTCCCCCCCCAACATAAAATTTCCCTATATGAAAGAAACAGTACCTTATGTTGTATATGTGGGTGTTCCCTTTAAAGATGCAGATCACAACCCAATCCTTGACTTTTCACACTGTGTAACTCTTAAATGTGACTTCCCATAAATCTTCCAAAGGGAGTCTAGATAATTTGTTACTGCTTTGGTGCCAATGGAACATGGAAATTGTGTATTGGTTATTTCTTACTCTCACTGCATTATAGGCCTTTTTCCATTTCCATTCATGCACTTCTCTGAAAACATCCAATGTTATCGGGGCTAGCTATTTTACTGGTGAGGTCAGAGTCCTATCCTTAACTTAAGTATCTTGGGAATTGTATTCTCTCCCACCCCCACCTCCAAGAAGACTGCAGGAATCATCACAAATTCTGAACAGAAAGGGAACAGAGTGGAATATTTCTTAAAAAGAAAAGAGATTGCTCTGTTTGAGAGGAAGTGGAATTGGAGAGATGTGCAGGAAAGTAGCCACTATGGAGATCGGGTCACTGAAGATATCTCAAAGCATGGATTCCAAAACAAAGGACTGAGCATAGAAGTCTAGCTCAATAGTCAGCCTTCATTTTGCCAAAACAAAACCAAAGAGAACTCAGATGACTTGTTGCTGGAATATGATTGCCCTCTCTCTGAGCAGCTAGATAATTTTATTAATAACAAATAAGAATAATCTATTATTTGTTTAGCTCTCCAAACTTGCAGAGAAGAGAATCTATGTGAATTTGGAAAAATTCTACCCTTGGCAAAAACCAAATTTTTCTCTTTGATCTCTAGCAAACTGGATCTATTTGAACAGGTGCAGTAGGAACAGTTTTCACCTTTTGACAAAGGGAGAGGGAAGTAGAGATGGAGATCAAAAAGGAGGACCTGAGCCGCCTCAGTGTGAGGAGATGGATGTGTTCTAGGAGGACCTCTTTCTTGCAAGTGAGGAGGAACCAACTTTGTTCTTCACAATGCCATAATTGCTGGTTATAATTGATACTACTTCGTATGAATAATTCTTTAGGAAGATGCTGCAGTCTATTCGTGCCTATGAATACTCTCCACTACCCTTTGGGGAAACATCAACATAATTCACTAGAGACTATGGTATTATGGTATTCTCATGGACACAGCTTCATTGGAAGATCAGAGTTAAAAATGAGTCTTTAAATCTGGTCAGATTAAATTTAATGAGAATAAATAAAAAGTCTTATATTTAGGTTCAAAAAACCAACTCCTCAGTAAAATAAGGGAGCAACAATGGCTATGTAGCCTGTTTGCCCTGGCCTCACTTCCTCAAGGCCAGGCAGGCTCTATCTCCCCATTAGGGTTCTCAGATATCCTAAGGTGTTGGAGATATCTCTTCACTATGCCTTCAAGTCAAGCTCCCATCACCTGTGTTCTTTCCATAGTTAAGAACATGAAAAGCATCCCAGTTCCACTTAATGACCTAACATCATTTGGCTTTTACAAAAGGGTATTTACTTCAAAAATATAGCAAGAACAAAATATAGATGTTTTCCCCAATACCTCCAGGGCATATTCTTCCCCACACCACCTGTATCTCTGAGAGAGTAAGGCCAAAATTTAGCTTTGTTTGATAAGAACGATAGTAATAGCCTACATTTATATAGCACATACTACTGATAAGCGTTTTATAATTACTATCTCATTTGATTCTTACAACAACCCTGGGAGGTAGGTGCTATTATTCTCCATTTTACAGATAAGGAAACTGAGACAAATAGAGGTTAAGTGACTTGCCCAGGGCCACATAGCTAGTCAGTATCTGAGAATGGATTTGAACTCAGGACTTCCTGACTCCAGGCCCAATACCCTATCCACTGCACTACGGAGCTGCCTACATAGCATTGTTTTTGTCAATTTCATGTCCAAAGTTGCCATTGCTGATAGATGAATCCTTCACTGAACTGGGGTCCTGAAGGTCATTCTTAGAGGCTGCTGCTTGTACCTTGGGGCATCAGTGCTGTTCTGTCTGTAACATCTGGCCTACTCAGGCTTTTGAATGGTGGGATACAAACTCATTAATTGTCAGGTTTCAATCCCTTTTACTAGGCGCTAGGACAGATAGGTGGCACATTAAATAGAGTGTTCTGGAGTCAGGAAGACTCATCTTCTTGAGTTCAAATCTGGCCTCAGACACTTACTAACTGTATGACCATGGACAAGTCACTTAACTGTGTTTGCCTCAGTTTCTTCATTTGTAAAATGAGCTGGAGAAGGAAATGGCAGACCACTCCAGTATCTTTTCCAAGAAAACCCCAAATGGGATCATGAAGAGTCAGACACAACTGAAACAATTCAACAACAACAACAACAACAACTTTCATAATCAAACACAACAGAAACTCAGTCAGAAGGCTAGTGACAATAGGAAATATATCAGATCCCTAGAAGTTCAAATTTTGGGGCTGAGTGGACTAGGCCATGGTGGTTGGAACAGCCCAGAACTGACTGAGAAAAAACAATCTTGGAGTGGTTCCCTTGTCCTAACATGCTATCCTCTGGGCCACTGGACAGGTTTGTTCCTTCCTACCTAAGTTTCAGTTCTTTTGGGAGTCTGCGTTCCAGCCTGGAGTGGAATTCCTTCTTTCCTTTGTGGTTAGAGAGAGTAATTAAAGTTTAAGCACACACAGACACAGGGAAAGAATTGGACAAGGTCATCCCTGATCTAAACCTTAAGATTCATGCTAAGCTCTTGTGGTAGGGGGGGCAGCTAGTGACCTGAAATCAGGAAAACTCATCTTTGTGAGTTCAAATCTGGCCTCAGACACTTATTAGCTGTGTGACCCTGGATAAGCCACTTAATCTTGTTTGCCAGTTTCCTCGTGTAAAATGAGCTGGAGAAGGAACTTGTAAACCACTCCAGTATCTTTGCTAAGAAAACTCCAAACGGGATTTAAATGTCTGGCTGAGGAATTTGTCATTTATCCTAGAGACAATGGGAAACCACGGAAGTTTTGTGAGGATGTGAGTGATATTGTGATACTTCTAGCTTTGGAAGAGGATTTGACAAATGTGTGAACAACGAACTGGAGAGAGAAAACACCAAAATTGGGCTGACCAATTAAAAAGCTACAGCCTCTGTAGTCCAAGGGAGAGAGAAATTCTTTCATAGGAACCTGATCAGTCTTCAAACAATCCACCTCAGACCCACTACCTTGTTACTTAACCCAGAAACACACGTTTATCCCAGACTAGCCTGAGTATGGCATTGGTGTCTTTGGGAATGGATATAGCTACCTGTCATTTACCACAAATACTCACTTTGTTGTGAAAGGAAGGAAATCCCACACAGTACTACCTACAGTCTCTGCTCCATACTGCAAGGGCTTTCTACCCCCTTCTTGGGAGCCCAGGGACCTTATCCTCAGCTTAGAATATCTAGGGAACAACACCTCTGCATTTACCTTGGATATCCCTGCTACTGAGACATCCTGGGAGGCTCAGCACCATCAATGTCATCAGAACATCTGTCCAGCAGCCAGCAAAGACCCAAACACACACTATGTCAGAAATGAGAAAGAATAAAGGGAGTGAAGAAACAACAGGATAGATAGCCCTTACCCAATCAATAGGATGTAGCACTCCACTTGTTAGAGAAAAATTACCTCTCTGGCATTTCTAAGTCTCCTTAGCTGGGGTAGTTGAGTGGCACCATGGTTAGAGTGCCAGACCTAAAGTCAGGAACATCTGAGTTCAAATCCAACCTTAGACACTTACTAGCCATATCACCCTGGGCAAGTCACTTAATCCTGTTTGCCTCAGTTTTCTCATATAAAATGAGCTGGAAAAAGAAATGACAAACCACTCCAATATATTTGCCAAAAAAAACCCCCAAAATGAAGAAAAATGGGGTCATAAAGAGTTGAGCACTACTGAAACAACTAAACTGAGGATTGTACGCTGAGAGAGGAACCAATAGGCCTTAAAGCTGAGCTGTGTAATCTGTCTCCAGGCAGCAAATTGTTGTGAAAGGCCTGCTAGGAAACTTCTTTGCAGAAGTTTATAGAAGAAAATTTTTATAGAAGAAATTCTACAAAATTCTTTGTAGAAGAAATAAGCTTATTAGGTCCAATCCCTTACAACCTCCTAAATGACAAATGATTATTTGTCTTTTCCTTGTCTGATATCTTTAGCCTTTCTTTCCCTTCTGTTATCAAAAAGGCATCCCAGCAGAATGTGGGATCGCTGAGGACGGAGACTGTCTTACTTTTCTATGTGTATTCCCAGAGCTTTGCACATTATAAGCACTTAGTAAATGCTTTGTTCATTCATCTCATAATAAAAATAATTTATACATACTTGGTACCAGTTTAAAGGTGTTTTGCATACAGTAACTAAGTGGATCCTCACAACACTTTCATACAATAATTAGGAAACTTTTACTTCAACATTTTCCATATAAGGAAATAAAGGCTATGAAACAAAGGCTACATTTTCCATATGTGGAAACAAAAAGATTAAGATCCTTGTCCAAAGTCACCCAGGTATGTAAATACCCACCAAAAGAATTCAAACCCAAGTTCTTTCTCTCCCAAGCTAAGCAGTTTCCCTATCCCCCCTCCAAATCCATCCCTTGACCTTGCTGATTCATTCTAGTTACTTCCACAATCACCTCTATGCAGTGAACTTCCAGAACTAGATTTTTATCCCCAACCTCTCAGCTGAACCATAGTCCTACATTTCTGATTATTTATAGGATATGTGCACTTGGATACACTTTGGCACTTTACAATGAACTTGGCTGTGATGTCCATCATCACTGGATGAGCTTAGATTTTGAAATGTTGTCCCTATTAATAAAAAAAAACAAAAACAAAAAAAACTGGTCAGTTCTTCCTAGGAATTATGCCTACGGCTTCTGTAGGAAGTGCCAAATGAAGAAGGGACACTTTTTTTCCTTATGATTCTATGGTGTTTTCCTGTTAATTCAGCTATGTTTGGTAAGGATATATAATGTCAACCCTACTCACATGTGAACACCCTGAAAGATATCCCAGGTTTGAGGCATTTTGTGGGGCAGATCCCAGACCATAGTTCTTAACTCTAAAAAAAGTAGAAATATCACAAGACATAATTGTTCAAATCAAAAGACATTTAATTAATCAGCATAACATTATAAGTGACAAGAAAGATCTCCCCATCCACATAGGACTATATTGTTGCTGAGTCATTCAGTCATATGACTCTAAGTGACCCCATGCATTTGTCTGTGGAGTTTTTTTGGCAAAGATACTGGAATAGTTTGCCATTTCCTTCTCCAGCTCATTTTGCAGGTGAGGAAACTGAGGCAAATAGTGACTTGCCCAGGGTCACACCTATAGTAAGTGTCTGAGGCCAGATTTGAACTCAGATCTTCCTAACACCTGGCCTGGTGCTCTATCCATTGTACTACCTAGCTGCCCCTACAAGTTACTATACCAATAATGGGAGAAGAGAATATATTCTGGAAATCCCATGGCTTAGGAACACATGTGACCAGGGCATACACATACCCAGGGACAGGTCACCCCTTCCATATTGCACAGCTGCCAAAGTCCTCCCTTGTTATGTTTAGGTGCAGCTCTACAATGATAACATCAGAAGAGCTGCTTTGTCCTTTGAGGTTGGATCCTCTGATGTTTTTTCACTGGACCATACTGTTCTCTGCTGCCATCTTGCCAGTGTTTGGTTGCTATGATCTCTCTTTGGTCCTCTACTGCCATCTACTGGTCTGGATTTTTGGAGCTATGTGGCTCCTCAATTGTAGCAGTCTACTAATACTGCAGCCACATATAGCCAGGCAGCCAGGAAAAGCTAGAAGTTCTGAAGACTGCATTACTAATCCTTTCAATTCTTTGTCCTCTCATAGCCTTTGCTTAGCAGTGGATAGAGCTCTGGGCCTGAAGTCAGGAAGACTCTTCTTCTTGAGTTCAAATCTGGCCTCAGACACTTACTAGCTGTGTGTGTGTGACCCTAGCCAAGTCATTTAACCCAGTTTACCTCAGTTTCCTCATTTGTAAAATGAGCTAGAGAAGGAAATGGCAAACCACTCCATATCTCTGCCAAGAAAACCTTAAATGTAGTCACAAAGATTTAGACACAAATGAAATGATTAAACAACAAATCCTTTGTATAAACTCTTAATTAAGCAAGTCTAAAATTGCTTAAAATCACATACCTTGGTCTCTGGTCATCTCTTTTTAAGTCATCCCAAGAAATCCATTTAGACAAATTATCAAAGAGCTAAGTGGAATCAGAGTTGAGGAGATTATTGTCAATTCCTCAAACTATAATGCCTCTGCCATGAGTATCACCCCACAAAGACTGAAAAGGCTCTGGCAGAGCCCCCAAACTTTGTGTAACTTTATTTAAAAAAATCAATTTCTATTGATGTCATTTTTTTTGGTGGTACTAAAATACCACCCCCCAGCATCCATACCCTCATCTTCCCAGAATGTCCCATAAAACAAATAATAGTTTCTAAAGAAAAAAATGTAGAAAGAGAAGAGGGGAAAGATTAGCACAACTTATCAGTACATCGAGAAAATATGAAAATTTGGGCAATATACCCCACCTGCAGACCTCTCACTTCTACAAAGGGGTGTGTCCTTTTGCATATTCTATTAAGCACAATTTCTCCAAATTCTGTCTGCTAGTTACTTAGATTTATGGATTTACTTACTATCTACTATTTTAAGTAGATTTTCGTATAATAATATTTTGATGGGAAGCAGCTAAGCTGGGGAATATAAGCAAGGTAAGGGTCACCCTTCCCCCTTAAGACTAACCAGGGAAGCAACTTTTTTTCCCAAGCCTTGAACAGCACAACCCTAGACAAGACATATTTGAGGGGGACAGACATGATTTTAGTCTAATATATCTCTTGCAGACTAGAGAAAAGAGTACCCAGCCTCACAACACTCCTGGGGCCTACCTACCCTTCCCATCCTTCCTCCCCTCCAGCTAGCTTGTTAGGAATATAGAGACAGCCCCTGCATCTTCTCTTTTCTTTAGTGGCAGAACAGATTGCCGAGATATTATCTGTACCACCCACAAACTGTATCTATACCCTTGGTTGACCCATGTGGACACACCTATCTTAGACAGACATACAGAGAAAGAAGTTGAGGGCCTGAGGGGCTCAGGGACACCCAAAATCACACAGCTAGTAAGTGGGAGGGTCATAACTTGAAATTAGGCACAGACAGAATTAGAACCCACAGCTTCAGAGCTGGAAGAGACTTCAGGGGTCATCTCTCTCCACTCAGTCATCTTACAGATAAAAGAACTATAGTCGGAGAAGCTATGTGTATTTCCAGAAGTCATGCAGGCAGAGCCCAGACATGATCCCAGGTTCTTTGACTCCAGACTTAGAAGTATTTTCCCAGTGTTCCACACTGCCTGAGAAATCTCAATTCCCATTGCCCTTTTCTTTACAGGATGCTACCTGTGGGTATCACTGATTCCAGTGGAACGTTGAATGAACACCTCCAAGGATGCCCCAGGATGAATGTCTGTAAAGATATGGATATCTTGGAGAATGTTTGGAATTAAATTATTGTAACTGACCTGCAGTTCCTATCATTTACTACAGTTTTTTAGGTATAAATCAATGTGTGAGGCATTGTTCTAAGCACTGGAGATAAAAATATGAAAAAATACAGGGTGGTGCATGGTGGAGAAGCAAAGGAAGTCCAAAAGTAGTGTATGGGCTGGGAAATGAAGAAATTCCATCCTGTGCCCCACTCTTTAAATGGAGATTGAGGAGTTCATGGTTCTGCCTTCCAATCAAATGGAAAGAAATTACTGATGAGGTATGAGAATACCAAGGGGGCAGCTAGGTGGTGCAATGGATAGAGCACCAGGCCTAGAGTCAGGAAGACTCATCTTCATGAGTTCAAATCCAACTTCAGAAACTTAATACCTGTGTGATCCTAGATAAGTCACTTAACTCTTTGCCTCAGTTTCCTTACCTATAAAATGAGCTGGAGAAAAAAATGACAAACCACTCCAGTACTTTGCCAAGTAAACCCTAAATTGGGTCATGAATAGTTGGAAATGACTTAACAACAATAATGAAGACCAAGGCTGATTGGATCTTGCAGGATGACAAGATTTCCCAATGATGAGGTTCCTGGGGCCTGGTGGAGAGTTCAGAGAAATTCAGTATGAGTGTAGCTGGTTGGGAAATAAATTAGTATTCCTGGTCATCCATGGATCTGGATCTGTAGATGAAAGGGCCAAAAAATGTCTAGGCAAGGAGTAACTTCACTATTGGGCTAATCTTTTCAAAGCAGAAGTTCAGTAGACTTTGTTTGGACATTAATCTCATCCTCAGCCACTGCCTCAGTATCTTCCAGAGTCAGTGGTTTTGAACTAGCAAATATATGATGTTTTGCACAACATGGCTCATGGAAAGGCATCAATTCCAATTTATTTGTCTAGACCTAGATGCTCTTCAGCCAGTGAGATCAACCAACCTTTTTTTTTTAAAGACACAATAGCAGCTAAACCTTTTTTTTTTAAGTTTTATTGTTGCTTTTAAAAAATATCGATAGAGGATGGAGCCAAGATGGCAGAGTAAAAGCAGTGACTTGCTTGAGCTCTCCCCCAAACTCCTCCAAATACCTGTAAAAAATGGCTCTAAACAAATTTGAGAGCAGCAGAACCAAAGACAGAGTGAAGCAAATTTCCAGCCCAAGACAACCTGGATGGTTGATTGGAAAGATCTGTTGTGC